CCCGCCCGTTTGGTGAAAGCTGGGTGGTGGGTGGTGCGGGGCAAGCGAAACGGCTACATACGATCTGTTCGGGGAGCGGAACATGATTTCGCGCCACAGCGCGCGCTTTCCGGACTGAGGTGTGTCATTCGTGTACCTCACCATGGATGGCAGTGGTTGGTGAGTGTAACAAGCCATAGAGAACTAACTACCTAGCGGGAGATGTACGTAAGCCGCAATTTGTCGGAAACGAAAGTGTTTCCGCCCTCCTCGGCGGTGCTGTCCCGTTCTTTCCCTTCTGCTTGACGACGATTCAGCGCAAGTCGCGCCCTCATCCGGCCAACTCTCTCTGTCTCTGTCCGTTCATACAACACACGCCCCACTTTTTTTTTTCTTACATGCGTGACGGCAGCGATAGCTATTGAGTTGTAGTCAGCACTCAGGAATGTGAGAGTGTCGGACTGTTGTATCAATTCTCGCCTGTGACTCTCAAACACCAACGCGCTTCCCAGCGCCCACCCTCACAACGCACACAAACCCGAAAAAGAGACTGCAAGGAAGCATGCACTTCTCTTCTTTTCCACGCACATTTGTCGTGCGTGGCACACATTTTGTTGTGCGTGCGCACGTGTCGCGATTACACACAAAAAGTAGAGACGGCAAGTGTACACACGCAGCTGTCCATTCAGTGCAGTCCGTTTTACACGCTCGCGTCCTGCCGTCTTGCCTGCAGTTCCTGATCGTTCTTGAGCGCCTTGGCGAGAGCGATGGGCGACGCCTTCTCCAGCACCAGGGAGGCGGGGACGGCCTCTCTCACGGCCAAGTTCAGAGAGCTTGGCATGAGCACCCTGCCCGTGCCATTGCTGTCACAGCTGCTGCCACCGCTGGCGCCATTGTTGCTGGGGTGTCCAGGAAAGGATAGGGAGGGGGTCAGCAGCCGCGACGTTACATCGGTTTGTGTAGTGGAAACAACTCTGACGTTCCGCGGTATAGTGTCGCAACGCCATCCGCCGCTTACTACCAGGTAAAAATGTGGGAGAGATTACCTCTCTCCCTCGCACAGGTGTGGTGGGGACACGCGTCGTTCACCCACCACCACGTGTAGGCACCTGAAACTGTCGTAGAAAAGGTCAACATATCGACGCTCCAGGGTGGGAATGAAACGAGAGGAGAATAGCTCGTGGGACTAGCAAATACTGCTAGAAGTCAGCACTGAAGGCATGCCTTTCAAATGATTTCATGTTTTTCACGGGCGTGTCCCTCTTAGTAGTGGTTTGTGACGGACGTTCTTTACTGTCTGGCCGGGTCGATCATCTGGCGCTTTTCCTACTCTTTCCGTCTCTATGCCGTTTGAAACTCCGCACACAACAGCCCGGTCACTGAGGTCATCTCGTCGGTATCTTTCAAGCGTTTCAAGTCGAATCTTGGGGTTCCGGTTGGGAAATCTTAGGTTTTCCGTCCTCATCTTGAAGGAAGTTAAATCTCTCCCTACTGCGCGCAGACACAAGTAATGACGTTTCCTCACTGCGATCAGTTAGCATCAGGCTTGTTCCTGTTTTGACTGAGCCAAACGACTCGTGTTCCACGTTGGCCGAGGAATGCTATTACCTACTTGGGCAACCCTATTCTTGGGTCATTCTTCACCCCTGGTTTAAAAATACAAATAAAAGGAAGATTTAGTCAGTGGTTAACCATTTTATTATTAGATGCTCGTAGCGGCGGTTCGCGCGGTCGTGAGTGATATGACACTTGCGATCATCAACTTGTAGCCAATAACATCTCGTTCTTCTCCATCTCCTATCCGCATTCCGACCGGTTTTTCCTCCGCTGTCTGCCGCTCCTCCGTTGGGAGGCAAACATCAAAAGAGTCACCCATCGGAACGTGGATAGGCCAGGGAGGAGAGTGAGATTTCATTGGCTCCGAGTTCATCACCGCGCAGAACACGAAAAGAGCATGGGGTTCCAAACTCTTATCAATCAGGCTTGTTTCTGTTTGACTGACCCAAACGACTTGTTTCCCACGTGTGCCGAGGAATGCCGCCGACGTGGGCAACCCTATCCCTTGGGTACTTTTTGTACCCCTACTCAGTGGCTAACTTAACTGCTCGTTACGGCGATCTGCGCGGTCGCGAGTGAAGTGAAGCTTAACCTTGCGCTGGTACACTTGCAGCCAATGAAATATCGTTCTTCTCCATGTCCTATCCGCATTCCGACGGGTTTTTCCTCCACTGTTGTTTGCGGAGGAAACCCCCGTCGGAATGCGCATGGGAGAGCGAGAAGAGTGAGATTCTATTGGCTGCAAGTTTATCAGCGCACAGACACGTGTTGGGCATGACATTACTCACTAATGTGATCAATCAGGCTCGTTCCTGTTTCGACTGAGCCAAACGACTCGTGTTCCACGTTGGCCGAGGAATGCTATTACCTACTTGGGCAATCCTATTCTTGGGTCATTCTTCACCCCTGGTTTAAAAATACAAATAAAAGGAAGATTTAGTCAGTGGCTAACCATTTTATTATTAGATGCTCGTAGCGGCGGTTCGCGCGGTCGTGAGTGATATGACACTTGCGATCATCAACTTGTAGCCAATAACATCTCGTTCTTCTCCATCTCCTATCCGCATTCCGACCGGTTTTTCCTCCGCTGTCTGCCGCTCCTCCGTTGGGAGGCAAACATCAAAAGAGTCACCCATCGGAACGTGGATAGGCCAGGGAGGAGAGTGAGATTTCATTGGCTCCAAGTTCATCACCGCGCAGAACACGAAAAGAGCATGGGGTTCCAAACTCTTATCAATCAGGCTTGTTTCTGTTTGACTGACCCAAACGACTTGTTTCCCACGTGTGCCGAGGAATGCCGCCGACGTGGGCAACCCTATCCCTTGGGTACTTTTTGTACCCCTACTCAGTGGCTAACTTAACTGCTCGTTACGGCGATCTGCGCGGTCGCGAGTGAAGTGAAGCTTAACCTTGCGCTGGTACACTTGCAGCCAATGAAATATCGTTCTTCTCCATGTCCTATCCGCATTCCGACGGGTTTTTCCTCCACTGTTGTTTGCGGAGGAAACCCCCGTCGGAATGCGCATGGGAGAGCGAGAAGAGTGAGATTCTATTGGCTGCAAGTTTATCAGCGCACAGACACGTGTTGGGCATGACATTACTCACTAATGTGATCAATCAGGCTCGTTCCTGTTTCGACTGAGCCAAACGACTTGTGTTCCACGTTGGCGGAGGAATGCTGTTACCTGCTTGTGCAAGCCTATCCTTGGGGTGATTCTTGTACCCCTTGTCAGCGGATAACATCACACGGAGGAATCTCATGCTCATTACGTGTCTGCGCGCTGTAGACTTGAAGCCAATAAAATCTATTTCTTCTCCCTGGTGTATCCGCATTCCGATGGGTATTGCCCCCGCTGTTTGCCGCTCCTCGGGTCGGTAGGCCAACAGCGGAAGAAAACCCCGTCGAAACGCGGACAGGAAGAGCAAAAGAAGAAGATGTTATTGGTTGCAAGTTTATCAGCGCAAGTGTCATATCACTCACGACCGCGAGAACCGCCGTAACGAGAAGTTGATAATAAATAGTAAGCCACTGTTGACTAAGGGTACAAAATCACCCCAAGGATAGGGTTGCCCAAGGAGGCATCATTCCTCCGCCAACTTGGACACAAGTCGTTTGGCTCAGCCCCAACAGTAGATACAAACTGGAACACGTTGCAGGTGGAGGGTGAGAAAGCCAGAAGCAGACGAGAGGGATGCGAAACACACACTGCTGCAAAAATTTTGTACGATATCCGGTGGGAAATGAAGCAAGAACAACCCTCGAAAAAGGGCGGGGGGTAATGTGGGCGTACCCTTCATAAAAGGGTAAATACAATCTCCTCAACGCCTGCATGTCGAGGATGATTTCCTCTTCTTCACGCTCACCTCGTGAGGATGCTCTGAATTATTTTGTTGTTTGAAACTCTATTTTGATTCCTTGCGGTCTCTCTTGTTGCTATGTACTATCTCGCCACGAGCTGAGGGATGCACCTGTCGATCGGCAGCAGTGGTGCTGGTGCGGTGCCGGCAGCTGCGGGCGAAGGCTTCGGCTTCAGCGTTCGGAGTTCGGCCAGGAGAGCGTCGTACGGCTTGATGGTAACGCCGGCCTCCATCAGATGCTGCAAAACGTCGGGGGAGTTGAACGCAAGGAAGCCAACTTATGTTGAAATTTCCGTACAAGGTAGTTTCGTCGACCCCTCCGGAGAATCATAATCCTTGCGACGGAGAGCAAACTTAAAACGCTCTCCGAAACGGGTTCATGGTCATGCGAGGAGTGAGAATTGCTCATGGCTGTTGTTGCCACACGAAGGAAAAAATTCGCTTTGAGGAGGAGTGCAGGGGGTCCGGCATCCTGCAGGGACACACAGAAGCATCGTCTGATCCCTCACCTGCTCCACCCCCTCCCCGAGCTTGACCGTGTCGATGAAAAGGAACGCGTCTTCTTGCGTCAGCAACGAGGCCGCGAAGGCCACCGGGTTGTACAAGATGTCGCTACCTCTGATGTTGAACAGCCACGCCACCTGTAGGTCGCACAAGGCGTTGCCTTCAGATGAGCTTCTTCACGGGCGTCAGACGCACACGCGAGCGAATTCAGCCGGGAAACCGATGCAGTACACGCTCGCGGAGAGACGAGCCGTTCAAAAAAACAACAACCGAGATTTCATGTTTTGAAGAAATAACCAACCCCCGACAGACAACGATCACCTCGCAAGAACCTATAGGTAGACAACGTGGTCGGTGTAACGTCCTTGTGCAAGGCCAGTGCCGAGTGCTGCTTACATCGTCACAAGGCGTCGCGAACACAGCGAGCCACGTTTCGATTTCCTTGTCGGGATAAAAACAAACAAACAAAAGCTCTTGCTACACCTGAAAATGAGTAACGATTTCTGGCTGTAGGCTGCCTTCCTTTCACGTTTCGTCAGAATCCAATCGGTGGCTATTCAATCCAAACTGCTAGTCGTTCGTACCTCATCCATTGCCATGACCGCTCTAGGAACCAGGCCCTCTCCCTCAAGACGAGCTCCAATCACACACATGCTCTTTACTGCAAGCAAAAGTCGTTGGCCGTGTACGTACCTCATCCATTGCCATAACCACGAGGGACGAGGCCCTCTCCTTAACGACAAGCTTCCGCACCGCGGCGATCTTTTCCGGGACGCCGACACCGGCGAACTTTAGAGGGTGTACTCGCACGGGTCGCCGAGGGACGGGAGGCTGGTCGGTCCATATCTCATCCACCAGGTTTCTGCCATTTCGAATTGTTTGTTTTTTGGCGGAGTATGTCCTTCGGTTGGATGAGCGTGTGTGTGCGTGGGATGAGAGAGTCGAAATTACGCCACGTGCCAGCGGAGGAAAGTACACAAGTGGGTGTCGGGGCATAGGAACAAGGACGTTGTGATCTCCTCCCCGTGCTTGTACCCACTAAGGCAAGGCTGCGCCCTCTCTCCACCCCCCAGTCTCTCTCTCGCTATCGTTGCGTCTCGTACCCACTGATCGGCACCAGACACCCTCCGCTCGCCGCAAGCTTCGAGGTCAGAGTCCTCGCCGTCCCCGCCGACAGCAACCACGGATCGACTCCAACTCGAAAGCCGCCCACCCCCACCCCGCCCTTCTCGCCCCCGGCACCGTCTGCAGCAGCAGGAGCGACGGCAACAGAAACGGCAGTAGCCTCGCTTCCCGGCACCGCAGGATCTTCCTCCTTCTCTTTCTCCTCCGCCGCAGCGGTGGTGGTAGCGGCGGCGGCGGACACCCGGGCATCGCGAACAGTGGCAGCCTCCTGCTCCAACCACTGCTCCAAGGTGGGAACGTCTTTCTCGCCGAGGCGCATGAGCATCCAGTCTGCGCTCAGCTGTTGGCTCGCCTTATTTTCCGTCGCAAGAAGATGAGCCGAAATAATACGTACCGGGCGTGGGTTAGGTGTTCAAAAGGAAAGCAAACAACACTTTTTCGTGGTAAACAAATAGCGGCCAACGATTACGAATACCTACACCAGAGACGGAGCGAGATCTTTCTGAGCAAAGGACTGAAAGGTTTGCTAAAGACGGGCGTATCTGTCTGTGCGAAAAAACTCCGCGCTGAAAGACACACCGAACATGTTTGTCACAAGAACTTATACAGTATACGGGTGCATGTGTTCGACAAAGAAAACGATAATTGGCGACAAGATGGTACCCCACCATTCGTTCCGATACTTCACATGCTATAGCATACACTCGGTCAATCTCGGGTGCTTCCTGGAGATCACGCCGGCAAGGGAGAGTGGGGGTGATATTCTCCGTCACACCTCAAGATTTCGCCTTGTCCTTGTTGTATCTATCACGTAAACGCATACTGTACCATGATCTTTGTCGCTGCAGATCACCACATGGACATGTCGAAATCAATAGAGGCAACCCTTTCACCATGATCCCGCTCCAAGTACTATGGACACACTGCTATTGTTCGTGTGCTTCTGTATATGCATATCCGCTGCAGAGTTCATTCAGCCATGCGCAGGTGGCAGGTAAGAAAACCCACACCCATCCCCTATGCTACTGCTGTTAGTGCATACCTGCAAGAAGTACCGACCATCAGTCCACATGAGCGCCTTCGTGTGTGTTACGAGCGCTGTTCCCGCAGAGCCCGTGAACCCCGTGAGCCACTCCCTCCGCTTGTCGTGGTCGGCGACGTACTCACTCTGGTGAGCATCCTGCGTCTCTACAAGATAGGCCGAGACTCCCCGCGCCTGCATTGCCGCGCGCAGGAGGCTGAGCTTCTCCTGCTTTCCATCATTGGCGGCAGATGAGGCAACAGTAACGCCATACCCACCGTTCGAGGGGGTAGCGATACGCGCCTTCTTTGGCACCGAGGAGGACATGGCCCGTCTTCCCTGCAATGCCTGCAGTTGATCCTGGGAGCTGCAGAGCTACAATAGCTGTAGACTGAGAGAGCTATGGCCAAGATGTGTAGGTACCCTGGAATCCTAGTATCGAACCCCCTCGTGTAACTCTCCGCACCCGCAGACCCCGCACACGCAGCCAGGTACCGGGGTGCACCGCTCCGCGCCTTGCTGCTGCTGTGCGTGCCATGAGTCTGAAAGATGCAGTCTCAGCTCTTCGCTCGCTCAAGGCGGAGCTCGAGGCCTGCCGTTCTTCGAAAGCGGAACTAGAGGTTGCCTACCGTGGAGTCCTCAATGTGAGAGTCATTCAATTTTTCGTCGCCGCCGTGCGGGATCGTCTCTGTGACTTACTACCCCTGCTGTAGTCTGTCTACTCTACTGCCGTTGTGCTGCTGCGCCTTGTGTACTTTGATCTGCTGCTTCTCGTCTAGACTATGCAGTATGCTTGTGTAGATCTACAGTACCGCTCTACTGCTGTAGCTGTCGGAGGAAAATATGAAGCTAACGGACGAGAGTTAGTTGCGTGAAACTTTATGTTGGTTCAGAAAGAAGGAAATCTCTGTCCGCTACTGCTGTAATGCATGTAGCCTGTACCCTGCGCCACCCTTGGCAGCGCTGCCGATATTGCCAAATACCAGGTGCAGCCGTGGGCCCTCTGCGAGAGATCTATCGAGGAGTGTTGTCTGACAGGCCGACTTCACTATTATAGCCCTATAGCAGGCACCCGCCCTATTCAAAATACTCGGAGGACGAGACAACTTGATTACCTCATCTTGTTCCAACCGATTTCACCCGCCCTATTCCGGCCTCCCGCCCAATCTAACCCGCCCAGCGTAGAAGGCCCGCGACTATAGCTCTCTGCTGCTGTAGATGCCCTCGTGGGCCCTCTGTTTGGCGGTAAATTATGTGCGAGGTTGATTCGCCTACCGTCAAATTATTGCACCTACCGGCCACCCCCTTTTACCAGGCGCGTGACTGCTGTACCGCTGTGTACCCGATACTGCCGTTTTCCCGTACCCGTGGGGCAACAGGCTGAAGGGAGACTTGAACCATTGCACCACAGCGTGCCTGGCAGCACGACGTACCCGAAATGCGACAAGACAATTTTGCGCGTGCAATCAAGATCATCTTAGTTATATTATTGTGATGGTTTCAGAGCTGTGCAACTTGGCTGGTTCGCGTTGGACAGGCGTACAATGTTCCGTGGCACGCCCTTCCATTGCTCTCCGTCTGTCCTTCTTTTCTTCGCCATCCCATCTTTCACCGCAACATGTGCAACTTCCCCCCCCTAAAGCTGAACGGAGTAATAATTGAACGGCTCTCTCGCACCCATCCATCGATGAGAGGTTATTCCGTGTTAGTGCCGGAAAGTGGATCCGACTCTGAAATCTACCTTGTCGTGGAGCCTGTGGCGTACTCTGAAGAGGCCTGGCCATTCTCGATAGGTGGCACGTGTCTATCATCAAGGTAGAATCTGTAGCATACCGCATCAAGATGGGCAGTGAAGCGAACGCCAACCGCCGTCCGCCCTCCGCTGACCCCCCCTGACCACTATGGTTGACACGAATATAGGAGCTCCGGCTCGCCAAGGAACCTAAGCAAAAAGAAGGACAGGACCCCTCTAGGAGCGTCGGCAACAACAATGACGACGACGCGCCCAGGCGGGGGGATGAATCTGGGACCGCCGAGGTAGAGAGGGAGGAGTGGAGAGAGACCCTGGAAGAGGAAGCGCGGTGTTTGCGGGAAGAGCTAGCTGCGGTGAAGGCTCGCGCAGAGGTGTGATTACATGCTGATATTTCCCGTCTGTTTTGGGTATAGATAAGTGGGTGGGTCGGGATCGAGGGCATCTTCGCCACAATTTCAACCGCCAAGAGACAAACATCCACGCAAAGTTACTCGGTGGGATACGTACAACAAATACTGCTCAATTGCCGTGGTACACAGCAGTCTAAAGGTTTTGTCCCATCTTCGTTGCTAAATCAGTTATCTCCCATTCCCACCCCGCCACTCGTCTACGAGTAAAGGGCAAACTCAGGCTGTTCCTCCACCCACGCTGGCCCCGGCTTCCATCCTCGTTTCTTTTCCTCCGGACAAGATGAACCGCTCCTGCCTATACATGTATCCGCACCTGAGCACGATATCTTTTGAACCAGCAGGAGACGGTGGTATCTATCAATCAAGAATTAGAGGAAGCCGTGTGTGCCAGGGAGAGCGCCAGCAGTGCTGCGACAGCGGCGCAAGGGGAGCTGGTTGAGGAAAAAGCTAGGGCAGAAGCTGCCGAGAGGCAACTCAAGGGGTATGTACAGCCCACGAGAGGCGGGCACCCGTACATGGCCTATCGCGTTTGGTGGTTCAGGTTCCTGACCTCTGGTCCTCGGTAGTGGGCACACGCGGGACAGCCTTTTCCACGGCACCAGCCTGTCCCCCTGTATACCATTAGGTTTCCTATTCCGTAACCTTTGCTGCCCCCCCTCTGCACGTTCTCTGGTCGATTGTCCCGCGGTCCCTCCTGCACTCACCGTCAGGGCTACCGAAGAAGCTGCTCAGCTGCGCACACGTCTAAATGACACAACCGTCGAGCTAGAGAGTGCAAGAAACGCGCTAGAAACTGACGGGACAAACAGAGGCGGGGAGAGTACGAACAATGGCGATGACGATGAGGACGCGGCGGACCTGGAGAGCGAGGCGAGCTATTTCAAAGATCACACATGTTTGTCGGCAGTCCCGTGAAGATGGGTGTTTGCTCGCCCTGGTCGTATGTCCCTGTTTTGTATGGGTGGGCGCCATCATGTTCTTATCCACCGAGCGTATTCGTATCCACCGAGCGCATTCGTATGTCTACAGCAGCGTTCCCTCGACTCATGTTGTTTCAACTGAGGAAAGTGCGCTATGCCGGTCATGTTTCGTCGCCATCGTATGGATGCCTCGACTTCGCCGCGAGTCACTGCGACGAGAGTTGACAGAGGTGGCTGAGTGGAACGTTGCTCAAAGCTTGCAAACACCCACTAAACCTTTGCGTTACTTGCCCGCCCGTCTCGCTCTCCGCTGGCGACCAAACACCGCCCGGGACGCATGCGCAGTTGAAGTCAATTCGTGACACCATCACCGCACAACCGCCGAGTTCCCCTGCGCGAACCGAAGGCCAGGAGGCAGTCAGGCCAGTGGCATCGGAAGATGCCGTAGCATCCGCTCTCGAGAAAGTCAACCAGCTTCAGGAGGAGCTCGAGTCGACTGTTCGAGACAACGTTGAAATGCGAAGGCTGATTGAGAACACCCGGCAGAGGGAGGAGGAGGAGAACCAGCACCGACTAGTTCAGGAGGGCGAGGCGGCGGCGAACTTGGCGGCGATGTCCTCCCAGCTTGCGGAAAGTACCGAAGAGTTGGAGGGGCTGAGAGAACGCCTGAAGGGAGTAGAGCAAGAAGAGGCGCGGATCAAAGCGAGCTGCAGTGAGAACGTTTCGGCTCTTGAGGCCTCGGAGGGAGAGGTAGCCTCCCTCGGTGCCTCGCTCGCTCATACCACCGAGGCGCTGGAGGAAGCGCAGCAGCTAGCGGTCACCAGGGAGGAAGAATCGTCCAACGCGCAGCGGGAACTAGCTGCTGCGCGCGAAGAGTTGAGCAGCGTAGCCGAGAAGGAGAGCAATGCTGCGGCCTTAGCAGCGGAGGCGGAAGAAGGCAGAGCAGCGGCAGCGTTAACAACCACGGTGGTGTTGGAACGAGAGAGAGCCGCGACAAGCGAAGCATTGTCGAGGGTCACGGAGCTAGAAACCACGCTCCGGGAGACCGAAGCGGGTCGAAAATCTCTGCTTGATGCTGCTGCTTCGGACGCGGAGAAAATCGAGGCCCTGGCCGCCGACGTCGCGAAAGGGCTGGAAGAAAAGGAAGCGGCGAAAGAGGAAGCTCGGGGCGCGGAGGCCCGGGCGTCGACGGCGGAGGCGAAGGTGTCAAGGGTGAAGTCGAAGGTGGCAGCTCTCAAGGAGACCATGGTCGAGGCTGAGAAGGCCCACAAGGTGGCCGTAGAGAAGGAGGTGGAAGCCAGGCTAGGCGTCGAGGAGACGCTATTGATGGCGAACAAGGTGCGAGAGGAAGAGAGGATGGCAATAACGGCGCTGCTGTCAAACATTTCGGCAATTTCCTGCGACTAGAGCCACAGCTGTTCCAGACCTTAGTTTTGCTGCCGATGGAGATTCCGGAGGCGTTTTTTCTTGCCGGCTTTCCACGTGTGCTTCCCGGGCTGTTGTGGCGCATTCCGTTGGTGCTGGTTTGCTGCTGTAGCGTGTGAAATCCCTTGTGCGTATGATCCAGATCATGTTTGGATTCTCGGGGTGTGTGTAAAAAGGTGTATAGCAGGTACGTGTGGCGTTTTACCGGAATGCCGTTTTAGATGTACCGCATCGAGGGCATATTCGTCGGCCTCCATTGACGAAAAGCCGTACTAGGCTCAGAATCGCGATTCTTGTCCCTCCATCGTGGCAACAGTATTGCTTTTAAGCTTTCGACGTATTCATAGCGGTACCGTTGTTGTACGTGTAAGGTATCGACGGCCCTCGCATGGTTCAGGTTTACGGCGTTTGTACCTTCGCTAAATCCCGTCCCACGACCGACGACGCCTCTGCTGCAGGAGCTACAAAGGCTCGAGATCAAAAACGAGGAGGCACTCTCAGCATCCAAAGGACTCCGTGAAGAGTGTGAAGGCCTCACAGCCACCGTGGAAACCCTGCGCGCTGAAGCGGTCGCAGCAGCAGGCGACGGCGGCAACAAACCTAACAACGTGTCAACAGCAGTTGCCACGCAAACGGGTGAGGCAGAGGAAAACGAAGAAAAAGAGGAGGAAATCGCTCGCCTTCGTGCAGTTATTGAGGAGATGAAGCGGGCGGGTGACGAGGTTGGCGTCGCACGGGGCTCTGCTGGCGGTGTGTCTAGCCATGGCGGAAGAGGCCCTGACGATGGTGGATCAGACGAAGAGGAGGGAGGCGGTGCGCGTCGAGACGGGGAGGGGAGGGCAAGCACAAAACAGCAGGTTATGGCGGAGAGGGATAGCCTGCGGGCGGAGCTTGCGAGCGAGAAAGAGCAAGCGTCCATGCGGGCAGCGGGTTTAGAGACGCAACTCGCGGACAAAGAGGTGTGAATTCTTCCCATCCAATCGACACGTTCGCCTTTGCGGAGCCTTAACGTACTGTAGACTTGATTTGTGAGTGTATGAGAATGTGAGTGATGGAGACGCCCAAAGGACTCGTGTTTGGCGTGGTTTGGTGTCCCCTATTCTCATCATTCGTAATTCTTGACCGTCTTTTTTTTTTCTTCCCAAGGGCGCTTGAGCCATGAGACCTTATCGAGATCAGAGGAAGGCAATGTTGCCCATCTTCCTGACTGCCTGCATGATTTGCATGGCTGCCTACCTCCGGCCCACTCTTCCTCCGACGCTTGATCATCCGATTCCCAAGCGCGAAGCGGCGGACACGCAGCGGCGCCTGTACCTCCGACAAAGCGAGCTCGAGACCGAACTCGAAGACTTGAACGCACACCACGATGCCCTCCGCGTGGAGTTGGCCCGCATGGACGCCTCTATCGAGAATGCCTCCGATGCCTCCTTCCGCCGCACCCCCTCTTCTTCTGCCACCTCTATGGGGGGTAGAGGAGGCGGGAGGTTGCGCGCAGGGGGCGGCAGCGTGGCCTCGCCAAAGTCAACCGGCAGGGACCCGGCCTCCATCGGAGCGGAGGTGGGAGGGGCAGTCGGCGGGATTTTGAGAGGTAAGTTTTGGTCCGGGTGGGGAGGCGGCAGCGTGACGAGCGCGGATACGAATGGAGGGGGCAGTACTGGCGAGGCTGGAGCCGGCAAAGGACCTGCTGCGGCGGCTCGAAAGGGGTCGAAGGCGAGGAGAGAGGGTGGCCGCGGGTATGGTGAAGGCAAGATTTCTACCGGGGCGGCCGGGGCTGGAGAGGCGGACCATCAGGTGCGGCAGGTGTCAATTTCGGCCTGTTGTTTGTGTTGTTGGCGTTTTCGGCTCCATCGCTTTTTCGCCGCGAACGTCACTTGTTGACTTCCATACATAGACTGTCCACAAGTATTGGCACGAAGGCGAACGAATCAGTCCCTCGCTCCATGTATGAATTCCGGGGTGAAGTGTCCCAACAAGATGGAAATACCTTGTGCAGGGGTGGGGAGGGATGACAGCGCAGCCTGTTGTTGGTGTACCGACGTCTCTTGCCGTGCTCAATGGCGATCAACCGGCTCGATCCGTTTCGGAGATGCCACGCGGACAATACCTCTCACGGAACGCACCCATGGCAACGGAATCGCTTTCAAGCGCAGGCACTCTCCCGAGAGAACTGTCTTGGGACAGGGGAACGCCTGGGGAGGCAATTGATCTGATCCCGAGTTTGGCGGGCTCGACTCGATCGCAAACCTTTCCTGGATTCTTCTTCGTTTAGTTGGAGGACCTGTTGAGATGACCGCAAACGTGGTGCTTTGGTAGAGAGAACAAGTGCGTCATTCTTTTCTGCGCCCCCTTGCTTTTGGCCTTTTTTGGCCCCATCTTCTGGTCGTCGACTCTGCAGTCCATCAGTCGGGTACGTGAGAACATGATGGCGAGGCTACAGGAAGCGGCGAGGGAAGGGAAAGTAGAGCAGAAGGAGACAAGCGGGGGTGCTGGCGGCGTCAAGAACAAAGACGTCGGCGGCGCCAACACCGACAACAGCGGTTCGCAGGGAGCGAGTGGCGAGAATAAGGAGGAGACAGGATCTGATGTCAAACACGTCTCTGACGTTGGGATGGCGGCAGCACCAAGAACGGTAGAAGACGAATGGGTCGAGGAAACCGTGGAGCACCCGCCCCCAGATTATGGACTGGAGTCTCCAGTCATTCGGTGCGAAATCGTCTCCGTCGTTGTTGGTGTTGCTTTGCTGTTACTGTTGTTGGATCCTGTTGCATTGATGGTGGTGTCACGAGATTTTGGTACGCCATCACTACTTCGTCCTCACATGTATAATGCCCTGTTTCCGTTGCCTCCGGCCCACCTGCACGAAAACCCCGCGTATACCAACCCGAAGGTACCTGCTACAACAATGGTCCACTGATCCTGACAAGCTCAAGTACCTGTCCCTCTGGCTCCGGTGTGTCATCGAACGGAGAAAGGTAGGCATGTCGACCTTGTGTCTTGCTGACCCTTCGCCCATGTCACCACGTATTCCACAACTCTTCGCACATATGCGCTGTCGTTGGAGGTCATGCTCCTCGTCCCTGGTTGTGAGTACCTTGGCGTCCGTCGTTGGTCTTGCTTGCGTAGACTGGAGTAAGGTCGACCTCTGACTGTGCGTAACCCATACCCACGCGCTACGCGCATGAATCGCCGCCGCGTCTGTTTCCGCATCAGGTACCAGACGCTTTCCCCTCGGGCTTGCAGCTGGTGGGGTTAGCTCCAGAGATCAAGGTGGGAGGTGCCATTCCATGTTTTGCTTCATGGGCAGCGCCCCAGTTCGACGCACGGTATGGTGAAATGCTGTGTACCTTCTGCTTTCTCAGGCCTGTAACTTGATGCAACAGAGCTTCATGACTTGTTGCACACGGTTGGTTCCACGTTATTCCCTACCCGCCCCCGCCCCCCTCGCCCCTTACGGCCTCATCACGTTCTTATTAGCGTTTGCTGCGCGTTCAACCCTCCGCCCCCGGCCTATTGTCGCTTCCAGGACGGCTTCTTGACTCTGGTCATCCCGATGATCCGCTTCACTGGCGGCATACCCGTGTTGGTCCACAGCCGACGCTCCCCTCCAGAAGAAAGCATTCCGGCGGGTGCAGGAACACCGACTTCTCCGGACAGCCACAGCAAGGAAACGGCTTTGTGGGACCTAAGGGTGAAGGTCGACCTCAACGGGTGACCCGCTCCTCCTCGGCAAGGCTACACAAAATGGCGATGACATGTGCAGTGGCGGCCCCGGGATGGGCAGTGGGGGTGGGAGTGAAGGACAGAGGGGATCATCTGACTTGATGCACGGAAAAGACCAAGGGGGTGGCTACCGCGTACCCCGAGGACCCCCAGCTTTGATATCCGTGCACAACATGACACGAAAGAAGGAGCAAAGGAGGTATATTTGCTAAGGAGCAAATGGTGCGTATCACAGCAGTCGCAAGTTGCCCGTGTGTGTTCGCAGTTGGTCGGCTGGGCGTGCTTTGTAGCTACATATGCGTTTTGTTGGGGTGGGTCTTGGACACTGCCCTCACGACGCAGCGAAGGCGTTTCGCAGCTCGTACTCGATAGCACCATGACGGCTATCATGGGAGTTCAGATAATCCTCCGAAACACGAGTACCAGCTCCATCTGTGTACTATGGATACTACTGCCGTCTCTTCCCGTAACCAATAACATGGAGGTTGACCGTCGCCATAGACGTTGTGGTCAAGACTCGCAGTAACTGCTCGTGACTCGCCTTTTTGTGTAACATGTTTTCATCAAGGATGGGACGGGACATCCAAAGTAGAGAGCATTGTATGCATATTGCATGATGCAGTGTGCTACATACTGCTGTACCCGCCAAGTTTGTTCCAGTGTGGAGGTGATCTTTCGAATCGTCCCAAATAATATTTGCGATCAGCAAGAAACAAATGGTCGCGGCGGTTCACCCTCCACATCCCCGAAGAGCATTGGAATCGTGGCTGTAAAATAAAAATGCCACGGAGAGTGGTACCTCGTGAGAGACGGAACTCACCGCGCGCACAACGTATCTGTTAAAACTGTAGAATACTGTAGAATACTGTAAAACGTGTATGTATGCATATGTATGGATATCCAAAAGATTCATGTGGATGGGTGCCCAGCAGGAAGCAACCATGTGAAGGAGAGACATTTGCGTTCTCGATCCAAACAAGTAAGGGAAACGGTCACCTGCTGAAGGTACATGTAGACCACTGTTAAGGAGGACCCGATTCGCAGGGTATCCGTCGATTGACTTTTACCAGAATCGGTACACCTTCGCATATGGCGTCAGCTGGATACTGGTTCGAATCTCCTTGGATGCACGTTTTTTCTCCTGACTTGGACATTTTCCCATGGACACCATGTGTGTCAGTCCTGAGAACACCTCTTCTTGGAATCGATCCTATAAAGAACCTTGTGACACTTCCATCGAATTACCCGTCCTGGCCACAAGAGGTTCCCAGTTGAGGGTAAATTCTGTGGGTGGAGAGTGTTAAGGAGGACCCGATTCGCAGGGTATCCGTCGATTGACTTTTACCAGAATCGGTACACCTTCGCACCACGCTGTACATGTAGAAGACGTGTCCGTGCCCACAGATACGAGTCCGGGACACACAGCAATGAGTGACAAACTGGTGGCAAGAATAGTCGCCAGAGGCGCCACACAAACCACGAATTATCATTTCTGTTGAACAAGAAATTTGACTCTTGGGGAGAAGTACATTACTTTTCACAAAGGAAGATCCGGATACTGCGGTGCACCTCTCTCTTTCTCTCGAATCCTCACTCTCAATCGGCATCACACCCTTTGTTGCTCGCTACCTACTACGCCTTGACGTCTCACCATATCAACAGGCTGATTTCGTCGTCAGCGAAGAAAAGAAAAGCATGCCAAAGGTGGGGCAGCTGGGCCACGTCGTCGTTGGTAAGTCCCGCTCTAGCGACATCTGCAGTTGCAGCTGTGCAAGCAAGTACACACGCTGCAGTTGCAGCTGTGAAAGCAAGTACACGCGCTGCAGTTTACCCGCATGGGGGCAACATGAGGCGGCATCCGTTTTCGGTATAGTCCTGAGGATGATGCAGATTGCGTGTGGCTGCTGAGGCTCTTCCTTCCCGTCTGCGAAATGGCAGGGAGGGCTTCAAATGACGCCGAGATGCGCTGTGTGTCTGACAGACAGCAAGTACAGGAGTAGCTCGGTGATTTTTTACCAACGATTTCTTCTCGGGTGGTGAACTCAGTCAACGACTGAAATTGGATTTTCTTTCAGCAGCAGCTTTCAGGTTTGTGCTGACCGCAGTTAGCACTCGGAGGTGTTGCCGGGTCACACCTTCGCGAAGCTAGATGACATATGTATGAATTCATACTGTTGCTATCGTTGTCCCATCACACCATGCATCGCCGGATTCAAATCAAAGGTGTTGCTGTAATGTGTAAAATGATTACAATATAGAGCCTGGTTGTTGTTTATTTTACCAGGAACTGCTGTCACTGCTCTTCTTCTTGAAGGACTTTCGAAACTTGCGCCGACACCTCCAGCAGGCCTTACCACATCAGTCATGATTCTTGTCATGTGCACCGACCAATGACTAATACTGTGCTTTCGCCTCTCATCATGGTTTTGGCTTGGCGTACGAGTCCAGTAGCATCACAAAGGTCACACACCGCCGCTCAATCAACCGAAAATACAGCACGTACATGGGTGGTGGGGATGACGGAGCCTTGGTTACACTTTGATAGTAACTCTTTAGGACTAACCGATGTTGAACGTAGCAAGGCCTAACCCTAACCCTCACCCACGACCAAAGCACGGCCTAGCGGCCGCGAACTGGCCGGCACGCGGCTGCGCCGCGTGTGCTTGGAATGCGGAACGGGGAGAGGGCGCTGGAGAGGAATCGGTCGGCAGAACCAACGCCGAACAACGCCCGACCGTTAGTCCTAAAGATCTACGATCAATGTGTAAACACTGCTCGGATGGCGACTAGATCTCTCAACAATATGTTCTTGCTCGTAAAACGTGCCGAACGAAGGGATGGATGATGTATGTCTGTCCCGCTCATCCTCTCCTGAAGAAAACAAACGCAAGACATTACATGGATATATATATGTATCTCGTCGCCGTCAGGACGCGGTGATGCATACTGCTGTCAGTGCAGATTTGAGACCAGAGGCTTCGTCAGATCTCCTCAGTGCATCTAAACGGTAGTCTAGATTACAGTATCTTCTTCACCGTCGTCTGTTTTCTGGTACTGTATCTACTGCTGGTGCAATATAATTATTTCAGTAGCTAAATGGTAGTAGTGTAGTATTCAGGAGTCTTCGCCAGGTCTTTTTATCTGTCCTGTGGGAGGCTAACATAGGTTCCACACATGGGACAGATCGTGAGCTACTGTCCTATGTCTCACCTATGTCCTTCAGATCACCATATGGGAGCAAACATACCCCGATTACGTATATATGTCCTTCAGACCTCATCGGGCAAACATACCCCGATCACCTATCAAGCCCTCCAGATCACCTCGGGGAAACATACCCCGATCACCTACTACTCTGTATGTCCTCCAGATCACCTCTAGCAAACATCACCTATGTCCTTCAGATCAAATCTGACAAACATACATACATACCTCGATCACCTACTGTTATGTCTTTCAGATCACCTCTGGCAAACATAGACCGATCGTTGTGTCCTTAGATCATGGCGGGGAAACATACCACATACGGTCGTGTGGATCACCTCGGGTAAACTTTTTATTTCTTCGACAGAGATGGATTCGCTGGGTCATACTGATGAAATGAAAAAAAACTTTCACCCACCACCATGTCCCTCCCAACAGGGACATACGAGAGCTATAATAGCTCGTATCTGTAGGGATCTGATCTGTCCTATGCATATGTGTTCGTAGGTCTGGTGTTGTGGTTAGACTATGATGCAATACCTGCTGTGAACCAACCTCCCTTTCCTGTTGTTTGTTCCTGCGGCTGTCTGGTCCTGGCAGGTGGAGTGGTGGCCACAATGTCTAGCGGTTTCGTCTCAGCACAGACGCCGATGATGGAGATTATTCTTCCCCTCTACCAATTCCCGTACTCCGACTGTGAGTAAATAATCGACCTTGCCTGCTTACGGCGACGGGGTGCAACTACAGTACATACTTGTAGGCTTCTTGGCTTAGCACCTGTTGTTGAGACGGTTATCACACAAAATGGTCAAGAAATTTACCTTCCTTGAGTCTGAAAATCTACTTTTTTCATTTATCTCCCAGCGTTTGACACTGCATGCCGCTGTATCGGAGTACCTGCTGTACGTGTATGCAGGAAACATGTATGGAGAGGCACAACTAGACTTGTCTTACGTAGGTGTGAATGCACACAAGGTTTGTACGAACAAGTTTTGTTGGCCAAAAATGAGCTACCTTGGTGTTACATTTTCGAAGAAGGCCGCGAAATACCAGGAAAGTGTCTTTCCACCTGTATTGCTCGATTCGTGGGCTTGTGTTACGTGGCATTCCGCCTTGTTCTGTGATGGTTGCTTGCGCTCGCTCTGTGAATGCGCCCAACTGGCGCCTCAACCACAACCGCACTCAGGTACCTTCTCTCCGGTATTCTTCTGCTGCCCTGCACTCACGAAACAATTTGTCTATCATCTCTGTTTTGAGCATGAGAACATCTACGGTACCATTCAAAAGAGAGAAAGATTTGACGGTATTACTGCTGGTGCGTTCAATGTTTCAACAGCACCTCCTGTCCTCCTCCACCACTTGAGAAGAACTTCGAATGCCACGCGATATACATGAAACAACTGAACAACAAGAACCAGCACCCCCCTATTTACACCCGTGCTTTGTATTCGTTGCGCGCCCATGGTCACGAACGACCGACCCCAAACAACAGTCCAGGTGGAGGCTCCCATGTGGGAGCAGCTGCTCGCCACCACGATAACCGGAACCCCGATTACGGCTATCCTGAACCCAATGAGCGGTCCCAACGTCGTTGACAATGACCTAGCTCTCTACAAGACGATCCTGAACACCTTCTTGAACCTTGGGGATGACCGAGCCGACCCCTCAGCCGACGAGCATGACTCGCTTACGGTACGCAAGTACCCTCAGACATCGGACTGGGGGATGACGTGCCCCAAGTTGTTGAATTTGTCACCAGTTGTTACGTGTCACACGTTTAAAGCGACAGCTTGAACCCGAGCAGGGGCAGGACTTTCTGCTCTGGCGTTGTCTGCGCCATGCAGTATGTGGTTGTGTTGGGTCTCAGGTGCCGAATGGGGGGGCGCATTGAACCCCACACACACAGCAAGTCCATTTTGCACGTTGAGGTAGGCGGCTAGCGCCTTGCTACTCATGATCGTGTTTCGAGGTACGTTAATCACTTCATGTAGACAAAACATGTTGTGTATTCGAGTGTAGGGCTAGATACGCTGCCATCAGGGAACTGCCAGAGTGCTCCATTGAACGCGCTTGTCCCGTTGGATCTCTCTCTAGGGCGCAAGTCATACAGCGCTGCACCACCCATTCCGGTCCAGGACCGAAAGCCTCATATCATGTCCCCGAGACGCTGTGGTTACAGAGGAGGAGGCTTTCCCCCACTCTGCATGGATCCCATTGCAACTAAACTTGCGACTGGTGCCCTTCTTCTCTCTCGCCCCACTTATCGCCACGCTGAAACACGCATCTCTCGTCCTTACTGCAGATGATTTGCTACGTGTCCACAGACTATGGCGACAGGTCGGAAGACGAGGTCAACGCCGACATCGACCAGTATGAAACGGTGAGGGTACACGTTGGGACGGATACAAGCACGATTCCTTGGATGGGCCAGCACACGCGAGCCCATGCAGACACCTCGTTTCATTACACTCCGTATTCGTTGAAAACTATCGGGGGGGGGGTGGATTTCGGAACATGAATACCCCTCCGCTTATATTATTTCTCGCAAACATAAAAGCACGAACGCGCTCGGAAATCGGTCGTGGCTGCCGGCTGTGCGTGAACCTCGGTCATGCTGTTAAAACAGCCCATTACTACAACTTCCTCGCGTTGTGAGTGAATCACAAACGTGCACAACCTTTCCAAAAGATCTGTACCTAGCCAACAAGACGAAGGACACATGTTTGTTTCAGAGTCACTTCGTCTACATCAGCGCGCGACCCCCACTCTCCTCCCGCCGACCAAAGCCCACCGCCGAAGTTCAACTCCATGCGTGTACCGGAATACTTCAAAGACGGATCCACCCGCAGCCTCCGAGCGTTTGATTTCCTACTACACACGCTAACACCGTATTCGGTGTCAACCTGGGTTCCATGTCTATTGTGTTTTCGACCTTTTCAAGCCATTGTGTCTTCTTGTTTCGGAAATAACACCGAACGAATACAGAACTTTCCAGGGGTCTGCGACGGCATCTTTTTCGACGAGGCGCCCGCCGACATCACGGACGAGGGCGGCAACCCAACGGCGACGGGAGATCTCTACGAGAGGTACAACAACTACGTTGTGGAAAAAGAGTTTCCCGACACGGAGGACCCGGTGAGGGCGAAGAGCTGGATGAGTCACTCGTCTTAGTTAGCGACGTAAAGCCAAGCTCACGTTCAAAGTGTCGAAGCTCATGACATCGCTTCTCACGGTCCGCCTCAAAACGCCGATGCTGTGCACGCAGCGGTAGGGAGTACGACGGCTTCATACGCTAATTTACCAACCCTGTGTATTTGTACCTGCGCGGTGTGCATGGGTGACGGGACCCGGCTTTCCATTTGACAGGGCCACGACTTGTCTGACACAACGACCCAGGCGTTGCTCTCACCGCGTCCTGCTGCATGTCGCACCCTTTCCCTGCTTGGAAGCTCGATCCTGCGTCACATGCATCGACCAGTCAATGAACCCTTGGCGGTGTGTATTCCACTTTGATCTGTCTTTGTGCAGGACCTTTTGCAGGACCGGTCGTGGACGGTCACTTTCAACCCAGGAGGCGGCGTTGATCCTGCATACTTCGCCTTCAGTGGCAACCCCACCGTGATGAGCTACGAGAACTTCTATCGCGTGTGAGTGGTGTGATACGCGAGCGACAGCGCAACAGTGTAGTGTTGTAAGGAACAGCTGAACACCGGACAGTTGGAATCCCCCGCAGGGCAATAATTCTCATGAACTCCTACTCCATCTGGAATTTTTCCACCTGACTCGTATGAGCAAAGAGTGTGCTTCAAGTGTATCACAAACGAAGCGACGTGTTTGCTGCTTGTGGCGCGCCTGCTTTGTGCGAGCGCGCAAGGATTTGAAGTCCCTTGCGGTACTTGAATTATGGTCGTGCCTGCCGAACGTGAAACGTTTGGTTAGCCGAGATGCCAATCAACCCATTACGCAACGTAAAACGGACGACCAGCTTCTGGTTCATTGTTGTGAAACGTAGCCTGGACCGCCGAAAACCCGGCGTTTCGCTCCTTCCCGGCTTGTAGGGAGATGCGAGGTCTTTGATCTACCGACGACGGGATGCCGGTCGTGACTGGTGTACCAGTCGGGAAGAAATCGTACGAGAAGGAGTCGATGCATTTGCGTGTGTTGCCCCCCCCCCCGCCGTGCACGCTATGGTCTAACGACTACGGCATGCACGACTATGAGTACACCCCCCCGCCGTGCACGCTGAACTGGCCGCCGCCACGCCGCCCGATTGGGATTGTCTGTGATCCATAGAATGAAGAACGTGGGCATGCCCAGGACTCCGTCGAGCGTCCTCGATCCTTCTCAACATGCGCTTGCCGTGCACACCACCTCGCCTGACCTAGACGGCAACACAGAGGTATGCCATCCAGCCATAATATTCCATCGCTTATTACGGTTGGAACATTCGGGGAAAAAAGTATGTTGTAGACAAGAAATCAAAACCAGTTCGGGGCGGGGATCATTTGGTTGCTTGGCTGAGCTATTCCGTTCGCACACCTCAGTGCCTTGGTTTCGATAACGATGATTTAATTGGATTCGATTGAAACGTTCTGATATATATGTAGAATGTTTCCTCTAGAGGTGGTCTTCTTCGAATATGGCGTGATCGGTTGAGAATTCGCTACCGACTACCTGGTATTTGATTACAAGGTTCGAGTTCTGTGGTTGTTATTTGATTACAAGTTTCGAGTTCTGTGGTTGACCAACAAGCGGTATAAAAGTAGTATTCTCGAGTCCTGTGTGGCGTACCGTTGTTTTCCTTTCGTCGCGTTTCAGGGCGTTGAGCACGATTCAACAACAAGCATTCGCCGACACGAGCGCTAGTTGCTGGTCGATCTCACGTCAAAGGAAATGCAGTTCCCGGAACCAAACTTCCTTCTTTGTTGATACCTACCTGCACACATACTGCATGCGTCCACGGTGTTTCAAGGGGCGGGGTATAAGTCCGGCCAATGATACTTTGTGCGATCTCCAGTGCCGTGTATATTTGTCCTCGCGCACGGCTCGTGCCCAGAGACGGCGTCCGAACCGACGGCACTCCCCAGCGATATGAAACGATTGCCCTTGTCGTTTCCACCCCGACACCCGGCCGCGTGCGAGCTAGGAGACCCGCGCGCTCGTGGAGGCCATCGTGCAGGAAGCGGCGTGTTCCGGGTGGGGCAAGATCTACCTCACGAGCGACTCCCAGGACCCTGGGTCGGACGATGGGGGCAACCCCTGGAACGTGTTGACGAACTACTGGGACACTCTTGTCGAGGCGGTGAAAGCGTACCCAACCCTTCCCCCGCCGAGCTGTTCGGGCCCGGAGATGGCCCTCATGGTGCCTGTGTGGTTGGCCGGAGAAGGTGCGCAGGCACTCGGCAGCTCACGATTGCAATGCTAGGGAGCCGGTATCTCGCGTGATCATGATTGAATGAAAGCGGTTGCTCGTCTCGCACAGACCACCCTCTCCTCGATCTCCACGGCGAGTACGCGGGAGTATTGCGTGCTTGTGGCTGTGCATGCGACGCAGAGGTCGAGCTTACTTTTGCTGTGCACAGCTCGCCCATATGCGAAACACTCCTCCTGCTTTCGTCTCGATCCACCAACAATCACGAATAGCGTCACGAACAGACTATTACCAACTCCCGGTCTTGCCAGTGTAGCCGCCACCGTCCTTGTGCACGCGACGAACGGCGTCAATGCCACCAACACTGTTGCTGCCGTTGTGCACTCCACACACACGTGGAAGCGACCTAAGGGACGCATGCATGCGTTTTACTTTGGTCGGCGCGGTTGGGTGCACTTGTGCCTGTATCGAATAAGCCTTTGATTTAGGTCCCGGTACAGCCACGGGAGACGGGGCGGTTGACGCGACAAGGTGGCTTCCAGATGCTCCCTGACATCCAGTTCGGTCTTCGGTATCTCGCGTTTCGAAGTAAAACAATGAAAAATCGAAAAAAGAACGAAGATATCGAGCTGACTTCTCTTCTCCCGACATTGGCTTTTTTGTGGTGCACGCGCGGCAGCCTTGGAAGACGCGGTCGACGACGTGCTGGGTGTAGTGACGAAGAGCAACTTCTTGGAGGGTGGTGTAACGGTTGTTCTGGATGCTCGCGACGGCGACGGTACTAACCCGACTGCCACGCAGCTGCGTGATGCTGGCGCCAGGGTGAGCTTCGAGCTATCTCGCGTTACGGAGTATGACAAATGAAAATATATGCATGTCAAGAATTGTGTTACTCTGTTACAGTAACTGTTGTTGTGGTGTTTCCTTCATTTCTTGCTGCTGTTGGTGGCGGCGGCGGTGGTAGCGGGAATCCTCTGTACCTGTGTTCGTGTGACCACGGTAGGCTGTCGTTGAGGACGCAAGAAAGCCTGGTCTACTTGCACGCAACGCAACAGCCGTGCGTGGTAGAGTACGACTGTGCAGTTGCACTGGCTTCCAAGTGAGGCGGAATTAGAAAACCCCTTCACTTCAACGTGCGAGACGAAAACAGCTTGAACCCTCCACCTACCATCGGCAATCGAGCTGTTTGGTGGTGAGTTTCAGCGGGTGTGATTTTGCTGCCCCCCGAAAAATTCACCTGTACAACCGCCTCCGGCCCATTTTCATACCACGTATCATGTCGCAGGTCCTGTGCTACTTCGATTTCAACAGCTACACGGATGTTTACGACCTGATCGGCGAGCTCACTTCAGCCGACCCGCCGGCGGCTTTTGCCACGGAGGTCTGCGGCGGCTTGTATGTGGACAACTACTCCGAGTTCACGTTGAGCGCAGAGCAAAACATCTACGATCTGTACATAACTGTTCAGGTATGGGTGTGCTGCTGTCGTCGCTTCCTGTTGATGTTGATGTTGTTGTTGTTGTTGTTGTTGTTGTCTTAAGAAGAACACAGGGTCACAATCGCATCAGCATAGGAGCTTCACAAACAAACCTGAGCCAGGTTTTCGTGTTCGAGTTGCTGGACTCAATTTGAGCAACCAAGCGACCACGCGATGAGTGTTGTTCCTCCCCAAGTTCAAGTTCATTCCCAGTTTCACTTGGATCTCAACCAGCGTCGAAAAGCGTGCCGTTTGCGCTCGGTATTTGTTTCGGACGTTGAGTCCAAAACAAACCGCGGAGTGTTTCCAATATCACGATGATGATGATGATGATGATGCCCTTCAGCTTGGACGGCGGACACCCCATGCCTTCGACGCTTCACTTTCGCGACCGGTGTTGTCCCTCTCAACTCATGTCTCTCTCGGTTTCCTCCTCGACGTCCCAGAACGTGATTCCGCGCGGCATGCTGGTTATCGATTACGAAGACCCGGACGTCCAGCTGTTCGACCTGTACGCGAAAGATTGGACCGAGGTAAGCTGTGGATGATGGTTGCGAAATACTAGTGCAAATGATAAGGGGTAAGGATGCAACTACGCCGCCGGGCTAAGGGGACCTCCAACACAGTACATTTTGATGTATCTGGCATCCACGGGGGTGTGGAGTGCTCACGGTGATTGTAAACCTTGACAAAACGGAACGATTTGAGCGACAAACTTGTATGATCTTCGGAGCAATTCACAGTGACCAAGGAGGGCACCTTGGTCTGAATTGTACGGACAAGACTCGCCATCGATGTACCACGCTGGTGTGTCTACAAGCGAGGTGTTCGCTAATGCACGAATATTGAAATGGTTCTCGACACGCCAGTTATACTACTACCTGTCGAAAAATGGAACACCAATCTTGGAGGCAGGGTTAGAAAACCCTCACACTCGTCTCTCAAGCTTGTCGTCAGGAACCGAGTCCATCCAGATATTTCGAGTTCGACACCAAAGCCGGAGCACCAAGGCTGGAGAGCTGTAAAAAACATCATGTTCATCAAGGTAAAAACGCCTACTCCCCCCTCACGTACACCGCCTGCATGTTTTTAGTGCTCACCGAACGCGACAACTGGTATCGAACGCAATGCCAGGTTTCCTTCCAAGAGGGGCGGGTGGTCGTGGCTACTAGGGTCGAAGCTACGACCCCATTCGCCGTCCCCGATCTTAACAACGACAACGCCACTCCGCAAAACTCGGCCCTGATCGTCACTGGCTTCACGGAAACCACCGCCGAGGTAACCTTTCTTTAAGGCCTTGTTGAGACGTGTGTCCTTCCGTGGAAGAATCCGTCCATCCACAAGGAAGGGTACACACTATGTACACCTGTGTTACACCGCTAGAGAGGCCGACTGCTCCCCCTCTCAACGAACCTGCATAGGTTGTTGAGCGCGAAGTCGCCTTCCCCTCCTACCCGCACCCACGACGGATCACATTTACATCTCTCGTTTCCTCCGTGTTTCTTGGAAAGTTGTTGTCCTCATCACGTCGCCTTCCCCTCCTACGCGCACCCGCGACACGTCACATTTACACCTTTCGTTTCCTTCGTGTTTCATGAAAAGTTGTTGTTGTCCTCATCACCGCCTTTACGCCTTCTGCGATTTCTGCGAACCGCTTCCGACCTTGCCGCCGCACAGGCGCAAGAGGTGGAGTGCCTGCTCGCCGAGATGAAGGAAACCTTCGGGTACGGGTTCGTCACGGGTGTCCTCGACCCCCCCGCCGAGGCAGAAACCGCCACCGTATACTTGGACCGATTGCACTCGGAACTTGATGTGAGTGTGTGGCCGCCCGTTCTCGTTGTACGTAGTGGGCTAGAGCGGGCGCGAAGCGCGACGGGCAACAGATTGCCAAGACGGTGGTGGCGCTCTTGAATTAGGGATTGCGATGGCCACAGAACACGAGAATAGAGAGGGGGAAGAGAGGCTTCAAGTCAGGCACACCAGAAATTCAATGAGCGCCCGAACGTCGGCGGTGTCTCTAGTTCCGAGTAGAGCAGTGCTCCGTTTTTTGAGAAGGCCATGCGTGGTCAATGATTTAACCACGAAGGCCAGAAACACGTCACCCCCCCCACACCCCTCCTTCTCCTCTTTCCACCCTTCCCTACCCGGGTCCTGCCGGGTGTTCGCGAACAAATTGATACCGTACAAGTCTCCCTTATCCCCTTTCGCCGCCGGAGCAAGACGAATCACCCGTCGGGATCGCCACGACTCATCTCTTTTCCTCCCCGCTTGCTATGTGCCGTGCTTGACTTCCTCTCCGCACCGCTATTCCGCCGCCATGGAACCCAGGACCCCACCATTACGGTCGAAAGTTGCGACGCCCCTGAGCCGGTGAGAAGTGTGGTATCAACGCGATCGACAAGTTTGCTGCGCGGCAGCATATGGGCACGGGGTTGGTTGACCGTAGTAGACCAGCATGCCTTGGCTACAGCAGATAGTGTACCCTAACGTTTTTTTTTGTTTGGGGAAATGATGTTGTTCGTCGCGCGGGAAGGCGCAGGTCGAAGGCGTCGTTATTGAATCGTTGCTAGATTGGTACACGTCACGACGAACAAATTCCGCAACAAATTGTGAGTTGCACGTGGTTGTTGCACAACTTGTATATCCGGATCATCCCCGGTTTAAAAATTGGCCTCGTCGCTTCACCCCCCCCCCCCCCCCCTTTTTCGTCGCGTGGCAACGACGTTGTAAAACAAGCCCCCCACTCGGTGTTTGCCATCGGGATTGGGTTTTCGTCGCTTGGCAACGACGTTGTAAAACAAGCCAATTCACTTCGTGAACTCGGCAACCAGGTTACCGTCTTTTTTTTTTACCTCTGGTTTTTTTTTTGGCGGTAACCATAATGGTGGTCGAGTAGATCATGTTGTGCGGGGTCGAGAAACCTCACTCCGCGCAACGGGGGATGATCGCACCACGTTGTGTTAAAATGGTCAAGCTTCCTCGAGGCAGTTACACAGTGCTTACAACTGTCTCTGGAAGTGAAAGCACCAGAAAATAAATTAAGTCATACGTAGCTGTCATCCGTACGCAAGGAAGTAAGCACAAGATGCCGAACACCCTTAGCAGGATGCAGCTCACCCTTCATGCGACTCGCCAAATACCTCACGGCGCTTCGCGCTTGGTGATGTGAGAGCCTGGTCCGGTGAGAACCCGGCGTGCTCCGTCCCGGCTTTGTAGGGATGCGAGGTCAATGGTCAAACGACTACGGCATGCACGACTATGAGTACACCCCCCCCCCCCCCTCCTGCCCCCCCTTCTCAACGCTCTCCTATTCCCACCACCACCTCGTCCTAATGTTCGTTGCTGTCGCTCCGACCCGGTGGTTAGCAGGTGACCTCGGCTTGCGGTTCAGATGGTGCGGCCGAGTTGACATGGCTCAGCAGCAGCCGCAAGATTCGCGTGAGGAATGGGGGCTGCGCAGACATGGCCAGGATCTTCGCCGAACTTGTACTCGAGGGCGTCGCTGGCGAAGGCATCACGACCGGTTCACCCCTTCGCGAGGTTGCCATGTTTTTGTCAAAAGCTTGTGTCTCTTGCCTCTCTGCTGTTGATCGTCGAATGCGCCCATTCTGTACTATAGTAACAGCAGCGGTCAGAGCGGATGCATAACCACGCGTGGCAGGGGACATGCGACGGGAGAGCTCGAGAGCCGGGGTGATGAAACCATTGCCTTGCGCTTCTAGTTGCTGTCTTTTTCGCAGAAATATTTGAATTGTGGTGTGCGCTGCGTCGGCATGCTGGGTTGTGTATGTTTCTCAGCCCTAGGTCACAAAATGTAAACATGACTACTCTCGCATTTCGCTTTAAAATCACCACATTTACAAACGGTGCTCTCATACATACATGCACCGGTGGACCGTTCCGCACGCAAAGCAGACTCGTTCGTCGGGCCTTCTTATTTCCTTTCTGGGTGAATCGAGCTGCAGTCTGCCACACACGGGACACGTTCTTGATCCTCACTCCCCCCTTCTGTTAACTTCACACCCCCGAGAGAACATTGATTCGTCCTTTGGGAAAACTCAACAGCTCGGCCGTATGCCACGACCCGTTTCTGACACAGATTCTGTGACTGATTGTGGATGTTGTTCGGACTTGTTCGAGGCCCGTGTGAGCTTCGCCCCTCTATGAATCGCATATCCATATCGACGACGCCGCCGCAATCGTTCGACCAGGTGGAACCCGGAGTGTGGCAGCTCGACGCCACCATCGACGTCCAGGCCGGCTCTGTCCTGAAGATTGTGGGGGAGGTGAGAGATCACACCCGCTTCGTGGAACAGGCATATGGCTCTCAATAGTTCGGCAGCACTAAGTGAGAGTCCCGCCTACCCGAACTCTTTCGGAGGTGCGCGTGTGCATGCTATCGTGACCGCGACATAATTTCCTCCAATGCACACAAAAAACAAGGCATAAATACATGTTTCGTAGAATTTTAGGTTCGCTAGGCTCGACATGCTTACAATGTGCGTAGGTGTTTTGCCTGGGTGTTTCATGTTTCGTCGGGTGCATAACTCCCCCCTCCATCACACGGGCGCGCCCGCCTTGCCCCTTGACTACTGTACCTCTCACCCGTTAACCGCCCATCCATCCGACTCAAGGATGGTCTCGGCGAGTGCAACGAGCTTCGCCTCCTCACCGACTCCACCGACGGCAAGAGAACCAGGGTTCTGGGAAACAGAGGGGACATCGTCATCCAGAACACCAAGGTTTGTGCCATGGCGTTGGGTCCTGCTTTGTTTTTCTTCTCGGAACACGATACAGCAGCTACTCGAGCATTCGTCCATCGATCTTTCTTGCTAGGCAAGCATCGCTTTTGACGTTCTTGGCTTCATCTTGTCCTTTAGTGTCTAACCCTGGCTCTTGCAAGAACTTCACCTATTGAAATGTTGCACGAGTTGAATGTCTTTCACCGACCAACCATAGATCGCTCACATGGCATCCAATCAGGCATTCCCTCGGTAAACCCGAGGAAGCAATTCAGAGGGAAATCTTCCGACTTCGGGCGGGCACCAAGCGAATTCGCCGGACAGCGCATGAGCATTTGCCAAGGGTTGGCACAGAAAGCGCCTCTGGATAGAGATCACCGGGAGTATGCTACCCACTCGTGTGTCCTTGGTTATGATTTGGGAAAGAAGGCACGGTTGCACCCGTTCCATTACCAACAACCTGATATTTATCTTTGTTCTGCCCAAGGATACTTGGGCCGATTAGTGCATGAACGAGCCGTGGCATCAGTCAATAACCGGTTTTCCCTGTCCAGCCATATCTGAAATCCCGACGCTATTTTGGTGTACTGTCTTGCTGTTTCGTTTCGCCTTGTCTTGCCTGTCGTTCGTTTTACATGGGGGCTAAAACAGATCGTCGGGTGGAAGAGCGACGAAAACGCGCCTGATACAACGGACAGCACCAATCGCGGGTACATCTTGTGCAGCTCCTGCCCTGGGACATGTATGTACCCGATCCCCATTCCGGCCTTTCACTTACCGTCGCTCGATACCACCATTTCTAAAGTCGATACGTTCGATTGCGCGTGAACATTCTTTAAAGTCTCGGGACGTATGCGACGGTGCGCAAATCGGCGAACCGCTGCAGGCCCCAGATTCGCGTTTGCGGAACGATTCGCAGCCGGATTTCCCGAGAAACGTCCTCCGCGCGCAACCTTTGGCGTTGCCTAGTAGCACTTCGTTGATGGTCTTTCTCCAGACTTGATCACGGCAGTCCAGTAGGTCGTTTTGGCGAGGACGGGCATCAACAACCCGACAGTAGCAATAGGGCTGTAGGATTCAACTTGATGTTTTCGCGGTGGTCAACCGGAAGCTGACTTCCCCACGGGCTCTGAGATGTGGCATGGAAAACGACACCAGGAACCATTCCCAAGAGGGACACCAGCCTCGTTACCGTTGTTTTGGTTGCGTGCCCCTGCAAGACAGAAAGAAACAACAGCACATTGTGCCTGCTAGCACATAGAAACCTTCAAACACGCCGTCGACGCGATCGATCGAAACGGTTTCAGGGCGCCGGTGGTACAAAATAGTGTTATTATAGTAGCCTTTTCGAACACAACGGTCAGCACCGGCTAGCCGTTGTATCGGCCGTTGTGTCGCATTGGTATGGCGTTTTATACCGAAGGCAACTTGACGAAAAGAGTATGAAGTAACGACGATGTCCAACGCGCATGATTTGTTTTTCAAAGCAGCGACCGACCAGTGCGTAATGAGTGTGACGGACAGCGAGCTCTCGTACCTTGGAGGGGGGGGGACGAACACCGGTGGCTTAGCGTGGAAGGTACGTGTTTCATTGTTCCCACGAAACCCCCCCAGAAAAGGAGAGCGTCCGAGATCGCGGTACACGGTGCTCTGATGTTTTTTTACTGGTGTTGTTTGGGCCAAGATGTTGTCTGTATGAGAAGCGCCAATGCGGTTTGTTCAGTGATATCAGCGGTGTTCCGCCACGTTGCTGACACCGACTGATACAGCCTTGGGGGTATGTTTGGTTTTGATTAATACGAGGACAGCGGCAGCTTGTCGAAGAAGAGAATACACCGAGTGAGTGCATGTAGAGACGGCGACGCGCGCGTACACCATTCCGCTGTCGTCAACTTATCTTGGGTGCCCTCTTGCCGCTCTCGAAGTTGGTGCTCGTTCCAACCTAGAACGTCAAGCCCTACTCATTCCCAGTACCTTGAAGTTCTGAGGGCTTGTCGTGGCCCACGTTTCCGATTGCTTGTTCATGCGGAAGCCTCTACCGCCATGCTGTAGACGCAAGATGCTGGCGAAAAGTGATCGCTGTAATACTTGGGGCGCGGTCCACCCCGCCCCGACAGGGCTAAGCATCGAGAGAATCTTCAACCAGGCTGTCTATCGTCTTCCACACTATTGCGGTTCTTCATTAATTTATGCGCTACTCCTGTCGCCAGCATCGATCACTAATGTTTTCTCTCGTGCACATGAAGCCGGATGTCGTGTTGTACCGCCGTTGTACCACAGATGATCCCCCTAGTAAAGCAAGCTTGATATGTCCTCTTCTATGCATACAATCCTCGTCTATTGTTTCTTTGTGTAGTGAAGCCTGGTCACCGTTGTTGATTGTGGCTGCTACTTTTGTCTAACGGTGTGCTGCCTTCCAGGACCTCTGCAGTTCATCGGCGACGGCCACGGCCCGGGGCCTGACACTCACAGGCAACCGCCGGGGAATTTGTGAGTTCTGTGCAACTCTCACTCGCGCCAAGAAACACAAGTGTCGGGGGTTTTGGCGGCGTATGTATGTATGTGAACACCAGAAGGTTCTCGTTGGTGATTTCAGTGCTTTGCCAACTTTCACGCAGTATTTTTTAGCTGCGTCTAGATTTTTGGGAGTTCCATATCTCGCGAGTACTGAAATCGCAAGTCCGCAATACTTGTGTGATCTTGAGAAGCCGAAATCAAACCATCAGACTAGTCAGCGCTGGCTAGTCTAATGGTTTGATTTCGGCTTCTTTCTATAGATCGCATAGCCGCAATGATAAGGCATTCGGTCATCCAGAGAGCAAACGCTTTCTGTGCGGGGTGGTCCTTGCTGTTTCTTGGAATAATTTCCTTTCGGTGACGAATCCAGCCACGAGCTCTGTCTGAGTTGAAACGCGGACGCAACTAACACAAACAATTCAGACTCGAGGAACGGACGGTGCTCCTTTATGTTAACCGATCCCACGAAGAGTTTCACGGCATGTCAATGTGTATGTATCTGAAGAAACTCCCCATGTCCTTTTTGGACTCTTTGCTTCTCGCTGTGGGGGGAATGATGTTGCGGCGCCGTTTTCGCCTCATCGGACATCAAAATGATGGTACGGCGATCAACGATGACGGCATCATCATCAACGGCAATAACAATACTGTGGACGGACCGGAGCGAAAAGACGCAAGAGGGGCGGTCCTGGACTTCGATGATCTCGATATCACGGGTAGCGTCAAGGAGGGCGTTCGCGTCGACTCGTGCTCAGGCCACGTCAAGGGTGAGTGTTGAGGTACGCAAGACTACACACAGGTAGTAGGCATTGAATGGGACTGAAGAGGAGACACGGTGAGTGGCGGGTGATGGACTGGATCAAGAATGGCATACCTTGTTGACAACGCCAAGTATTAAACATTACTGTATATAAGAGCATCGAACATTTGAAGCCCCTCCCCCCTCATTTTCCGCGTTGCACACATGAATACATTTGAAGGAAGTAGTAGACATGACATACTCCAAACCGCAAAAATTCGTCAGCCGGTTCATGCGTTATTTACATGCCCACTCATGCCCGTCGTCAACAGTCCGGGAATTCGCTACTTCAAGGTACACATGCGAGGCTGGTTGGTCCCTTCTAGAACGCTGGGGTCAGTGGCGCCGGCCGGGATCAACCGCTCTCGGCACAGCCTGTCTACGCAAGACTCTGCTGTATCGACACAAGCTTTGCGCTGTTTGACCTCATTTTTCCAGATAGCACCGTCGACCAGGAGGACAGCTCGGCGTGGGCCATCTTCGTACAGCGACCCGACGGCACTGAGGTGAAACGCCCCAGCTACATACTTCGAAGTGTGTTTAGCTGCATCTTTCGGGAAGTTTAAACAACCGAAGTCGGTTGGCAGCAGCGCGTGGTCTTTGTATTCTCGAGTTTTTTTGCGCGTTCCGCAGGGCCTCGTACCAGTTGGCTGAGTGAGGGCTACAGTGCGCGTTGTGAATAGGTCGATAATCTCGTCATTTTCGCGTTTTTTTCACGTTCTTGTGATAGTGTTACGTCCTGTTCGTAGTGTCTGCTATAGCAGTATTATACGATCAAGGCGTATCCTCTGTCCGTTGTATGGCGCCATCAACATTGTAGGCCTGTTGCGATCCTCCCACCACCACCCACATTATTACCTGCTGTACACAGGTCAGCGGAAACCAGATAACGGGCAGCAAGAGCTTGATCCTGAGGGATGATCTTGAGGGTGGCGCCTCGCCGACCGTGAACAGCAACACGATTCAAACGCCCACGCTCACCTCCGTTCGGTGAGAAAAGAACGCCTTCAACGCTGTACGTTCATCTCGACATCTGGGGTGGTGCGATTTCGGCCCGGTTTCGTTCTTTTACTCGCTTTCGCTGGGCAGAATGTCGTTCGGTGGAGGTAGTGTTCCCCGCGGACGATGCCCGGTTGTTTTTGCTGTTCGACTCTTAATAACGCCATGCATGAAGATAAGACTTCACCCAATACTCTGCGCTCTTTTTCAGTGACCCTCTCGTTTGCGTCTGTCTCCCCTTGATCATGATGTGGTCACGTTTGACTCAATTACGTAGTACATGACATGACATGACATGACATGTACAACTGACAGAACAATCACCACAACGTCTGCCTTCGGCCACGTGGTATACTTCGCACAGGAGAAAACTCGTTGTATTGTGCGTGTTTCGCAATGAGGAACAAGATAGCGGGAAGAGATTTAACTCGGTAGGTAGCGACTCTTGCTGACTCTGGTCGACTACAGTATTGCCCCGCCGTCCGTCCGTCCGTCCATCCACCCACCACCCCTTTTCTCCTCAGCGTCAGGACGGCCAACACACACTACAGTGGAAACAGTGGGGACGGGAGATGCGACGGCTGCTCAAGGATTGGCCTTGTCGCGTCGAGCACCGGGTGTTTCACCCAAGATTCAGCTTCGAGCGATTCCGAGGTCGACGCCTACATCACCGATCAACAATGTGCTCTTTGATTGTTGAACGTTACGATAACCTTCCAGTATCCTACAAGTACAACGGAGTGGGTGGAGGACTTACATAGCCTCCTTTCGAATGCCCCTCTGGAGGAACAGCCTCTTTGTAAACTATTACACGTACCATGCGTGCTGCATGGTACCTGTCATCCACCACATAAAAAAAAATTCATTACGGTGTGTATGTAGTCTATTAGGTGTAGACGAAGTTTTCGAGAGAGTGGAGGGTAGAGTGCTCCCGAACGGGGCACAGCCATACCCGATCCCCCATTCTCGTGTTGGAATGTCATGATTAGATTAGTATATTTCATGGCCGCCGCTTTTTGACCATTTTCTACATGCTTCGCATCGTGAGAAGGGTGTTAAGTAGAAATCGTGTAGTAAGTGACCGTTATTAGCTTGTACGAGGCCGGGTGTGCTTTGATTTGTACTGCGAAGTGGGCGCGCGACGATGCAGGGTAAAGTTGTGTACGAAAATTTCGAAGTCTCCTACAAGCGCCTGCTAATATGCTTGCCTGCCCGAGGAAGAGACAGACAGATAAAGAGCACTCAATGTTGAGCGTTTGCGCTTACATAGCGGTCCTTCAAGCATATATCGCTGCTTCCCTCTTGTACAGAGAGAAAATGTAACGTTCGAATGCGCGCCCTGCTTCACTGGGGAGGAGGTCGTCCTGATAGCTACATGAATATTTCTTATGTTCGGTATGATGGGAGTTGTTCGCAGATAAAATATTGTAGCTAGATGTTAAGGGAACAACGGGTTGGCACGAAGGCCGATAGTCGTGAACGTTGGTCGCCGTGGTGGTGGTGATCTCGACTAGAATGTTGGCGTCACGGCGATTTGACGAGGAGCTATTCGAAGGTCAGCGAAATAAGTTCAATGGGCTCGTTCGTTCGTCCTTTGGACCCCATTTTACAGTACAGGGCTCTCGTCGTGAGGAACAAAAAAAGTAACTGGAGCCTTCCTTGTGACGAATGGGTAGAGGGCAACCTACATGGTACACGTTTGTTTTCGTTGTCTTCATGGTTTTAGATTCTACAATCCATAGTGCGCGCAGTTTGAGAGTATAGAATGAGACACAACACGTGTGTGTTTGTTGCTGTATTCTGGGACTTGGTGATTCGCTTGTCCGTAGAGGATTAGACTACGGAATCAAAAACGATCTCGACCAAAATGAATGGTGAACGCAAGCAAGCCTGGGTTTTCCCTGAGGTACACATCTACCAAGAGGAAATCTACCATGTGCGAGAGAGCGACAACCACCAGCACATGACATGTTGTGACTACCGGGCAATCACGAGGCCGTTCGGCCCCAAGTAGACAGGCTAAAAAAATGGGCGTGTAGCGTTTCGTTTGTAACGGAACACCATCCGTGTGATGATATTTGAAGGATGTACGCTCTCCCAGAGCTTCTCGTGTACGCCACGACGGAGAACACTTTTTGAAGTCCTCAAATGTGTCGGGAAAAAACAAAAAATGTCGCGCGCTGGGAAAGGAGGGGCTGCTGACCGGAAGGGCCTGTTATCCTGATGACTACAAGTAGGAAGACATCCGAAACTAGACAAAGCGCCGAGAGAGGGACCGAAGACACACACGTTGCTGGTATCTCGTAGATCCCCTTCTCCGTTCAAGGACCCTTGAAAAAAAAAAGGGTGTCTGAGAGAGAGAGACACGGGTGAAGCTACAGGAACACTTGGTTGGATGGGATGACGGCTTTCGCGCAGCTGCTCACTTTGTTCGCATGCGGCCCATGTCATCTACTTCTTTACTCCTTTCCTCCTTCCCTCCTCCTCCCCTGTCCTGTCTATTAAATCGTGTTTCACACGTGTGTCTTGCGATTAAACGCACCCTTGCGCCCGGCCTTCCGTCTACAGCAGTATCAGCCGTCCTTTCCTCCCCACTCACGCAGCCCGCCTGTTCAACTGTGTGTCTATACTTTAGCTAAATAGGTTACCTGACCGCTCACGGCAGAAACCTCACCCACCCCACTCCCCATCTTCACGCCGCTCCCGTGTCCCCACAGTAAACCCCAAGTCCTTCTCCACCTAATACCAACTCGATTGCCTGGCTGTTTAATACTCCGTTGGTTTGCCACCACACAAAGAAAGGGTGCTGCTCCTAACTCCTGCTCGTCCCCTTTCCATTCGCAGCCAAAGGTTGTCCATTATCCAAGTCCAGCGCGTGTGCGCGCGCTTGGGGGTGGGGGAAGGGGGACAAACAAAAAAACAACCACACCAGTGAGGATCGACGCAGCGACCATAACAAGACCCCCCCGCCCGATCGAAAAACCGCGCGACTCAACAAGCCACGGGGAGAGAGTTACTATGGCATACGTATGCGGCATCACGTTCTCTGTGAGTAGGGTCCAGGGCTCTTCCTCCGTGGCGGGCAGACCGCGAATGAATACGTAAGTCTCCTCCTCCACGGAACAGCTGCCAAGATCAAAGGCGTTCCTGGTAAATACCGGTAGTAATCGCTGCTCAAGGTCAAGTCGGCACTGACCGCGTCACACAAGAGACTCGTCTGCTTGTCATTCCTGGGCAGCAAGCTCGTCATCAAATAGTGTTTTTCGCGTGTGCCTCTCCTACCGCAGCAGTCGCCACGACCCCTCTCCATCCGTCCGCGCTCTTAGTCTACAGCGCCAAAATAAAAACAAAAAAAAGCACAAGCAACGCGACTTCAAAGCTTGACCTCAGCCTTTATCATCATCACGAGAGATAGTAACCACTAGCTGTATTGTATAGCCTGGAGTTCGCCCAGGAACCCTGCCGCTAAGAGCCAGTCGACCATCAAAACAACCATCACCATCACTACGCCTCGCACCAAGTCACTCCGAACCCCTCCTCCTCGTCCACCGCTAACAAACCCGAGAGACATAGGAGAGAGAACCACACCGCGAGCGCGGAACCGACCAAACGTCCAAGTTATCACAGCTCCGCCTCCGCCTCCGCCTCCACCGAGCCGGCTGCGGCTGCGGCAGACGACACCGCTTCCGCGAACTGCTGGAGGTTCAAGACGATGAAGTACGCGATGCCGGCCAGCGGCAGCACTACCGACACCAGCGCGCCGGCGAGGAACGTCCCCGCGCTGTCCTTGGGGGCCCCGTTGGTCTTGCCGTTCGTGCCGTGCCTGTTGGGGGGGGGGGGGGGGTTTCTTTGCCTC